AAGGTGAACAGAGGAAATCATAAGAATCTGTTAACCATACTTTTATCATAATAAATAATTGGTAACTAAGCAATGGTAGCTAATGATGATTGAGTTAACCGAACTAAAGCGTATACCATATTAAATTGGCTTCGCTCTGGTTTTTCAAAGGACTTCTTAAAAAATCGATTTACCTGTTTTCTATCATTTGGCCAATTTGGGCCGCTTTCTTCAAACTCACTTTTTGTCGTAACCGTGAAAGATATATAAAAACAACTTATGTGGTTTTATTCATTGTGGTCTGGACTATATTGTTTATAATAAATAATTAAATAATAAATAATTATTTGTTAATGCATGAAAAAGTTGACATATCTGTCCGGTTTGGATTTTCTGGAAGTGCGGTTATTTGGACACCTTGTAATTAGCGTTATTCGAATGCCTATAGGTTCTTCTTATTTTATCCAAAATATTGTGTTTTTGTGGGACTATATATTATAAAGTTAGAAACATCTGAGCTGAATTAAACTTTTATTTTGTGTGTTTACATACAAGAGTTGGGAGCATAGACATTACACTACATGGACTGCTAGTCCCCATATGTTTTCCGTTGTATATAGTGCTCAAAACATAGAAGAGTATGTGACGTCACATGTCTGAGCGAACATTGCCGACGACAATCGCGGACTCTCCCAATTGATCAAATGACATATGCCATATGTTGCGTGTCTAACATAGACCTTATAGTAAATAAACCGATTTTAACAGGTGGATTCGATTTTATGTACATTTTTTTCCACAGGAGAAATATTATTAATATCACTTCTTATAAACTTATCAGCTATCACAATTGCCATTATATTATTAAATTAAAACTTATGTCATATGACATTTAATCAATCGGGAAAGTCCGCGATTGTCGTCGACAATGTACGCTCAGCACGTGACGTCACAGTTCTTTCTATGTTTGAGCACTTATTTTGCGCTCGGCTAGCAGTCCATGTAGTATAAGGTCTATGGTTCAGGGGCTTTTATAAGTAGGAAAAACCTTCAAATTAAATATTTATTAAATTAAAGAACAGTATTTTGGTTTTTTCGAAACAGAAAATTCAAAAATCCTAACATATTTGAATATTACAAATAGTTTTTGAATGTAAATTAATTTAAAATATTGGGTGAAGTCTCAACTTGTACTGGTCAACTATTGTTATATTATGCCTGATTTAAGGATAACGATCAATCTTTAAACTTAGGCATATAAATTTGCGTTTTTATTTATTTCCAACTTAATTTTTTGGGAATATTTAAAATTATGCAAAAATCAGTCAAAAAAATCAGAATAAGCAAGTAGATTGAAAACTCTTATTTAGTAAATTAAATTGCATACCGTATTCATGGCAAGATTGCCCAAGATGAGATTCTGAATCTTTTTAAATCATTGTTGAAAATAGAAGAATATTTTAATGGAATGAAAAGGAAAAATATTGGTTTTGTATGCAAAATTTAGTTAGAAAATAATTTAAAATTAATCACTCCGGATAATCTAATGTTTTTTGTATCTTTTCAATATTTAATGACACTTGTTACATCTTAAGGCGTGCTTGTAGATAATATATAAACCAATATTGAAAGGTCATTTATTTTAAAACAAACATTGATAAGAAAAATCATACCAACATTACATCATTGTATGTAATAATACCATATGTGATTAACATAAATAACATCTCATGTAAACAAAAACACCCAACGTTTATTTAATTATCCAATGAAAGTTTATTAATAACATTATATATATACAATTATTATCATAACTAAGCAAATATTTATTATTATTCAGAATTTCTAGCGCGTGTTGATATAAACCGGGGAGAATTAAATTAAATATTTTGTTAAAGGCTAGAACTATGATAATATTGTTTTATTACCCATTGTATAAACTGATAAGTCATCATTTTCAAAAAGATAATATTTTAATTAATATTTGTTTGTATTGTGAATATTTGTTTTATCTTCGAGGTAACTGAAGATCTTGGAATGGTACGGTAGACCCCCCAAATACAATGGTAACCCACGTACGTGTCATTCGTTCTGGCAGTCACGGCGTGTAGCTGTTTTTGACATTTTTTGTCTATTAAGAATATGTTCATGCTCTACTAATTTGTTTTTATTTTGCCGTGCATTAATCCGTCAATCATAGCGATCTAAATATTCTTTGAATATGAATCACTTATCTCGAAAATATCACAACAAGAAACTAAAATCTTGGACCAACAATGATAATTGAAAGGCATTGTGTCGTTTTTAGGCGTTAAATTAAACTACAAATGTCTGAGATATCTATTTTTTTGTTTGATCAACAATCAGAACTAAATTTGTTTCATCAGCTCTTATGATGTGATTACCTAGTATTGTTAGAATGCAATCTAGTAGTTCACCAATCATCTCTATCTTATTAGATTTTTATTAGATTTTGTATCTAATAGTGATGAGATTTTTATTACACCGAAAAGCTATTTTCTCTAGGCATTATATTTTATATTTTTAATCTCCAGTCAATTTCTGATATGTACTGCTTGATATCGAGCTAGCCGTGGTGGATATCAAATTTGGAACCGGTGGTTGTTAGACCAAATTTTCATCTCGGCCAGATCACTATAAATAGTTATAAATATTTCAAATTCGAATTTACTGTTCACTGGATTAAGGGGCCAATTCTGGGGTAACATAGCCGGTAACATACCGTTGTTATGGCAACGCTATCTTATTCTTATTTCTTGGTACTGAAAACTGTGAAAATACTATATATTTTCTGTATGATCAGCCGTATTTTACATATAAAAAAACTAGGAAGAATGTTATGATAACTGCATCTTTGTGATGCGCATTTATAACATACAGTTTTATGTGTAAAAATAAAATAAACATTTTCACAGATTTTAGAAAGAAGGCACTTGTTGCCGCAGAATTCGCACATAATCCCTAAAATATATGACAAACAAATACCTTTAACCCTTTCCACTTGGATGCCGGAATGCGCGAGTGGAAAGGGTTAATATAACAAATTAAACGTTTATTCCTACATTTTAAACTGTTTATGTAGTGTTAATTTTTTACGTTAGTTTTGAAAATTTTACTTTCTATAACTTAGTTACTTATAGTCTGGCGATCTTTTAAATCTCCCAATTAAATTTAAAAATTTGACTGGTTTATTTAAACTGGAAAAATAGTATCCAATCGTAAATTCATTCATTCTCTCAAGCGAAATACTCAGTTATGCATACAGTTGTTTTTAACATGTCTTTTATATATATATATATATATATATATATATATATATAAATGATACCTGCTGTTTAGAATGAGTGTGTAATCTGTTTTTTATAACATAAAATATATTTATGCTACAATTGCTTTTGTCCTACAAAATAAATTTAATCGAATGCGAAGTGAAAGCGAATTATTGTTATGGTTCAGAATGATTATATCTTGGATAAGAATATCGATCAACTCAGCGCAATCCATATTATTTACAATTACTTCCCTGAGTTTCACTCTTGTTCAAATTGTATCGATAAAAAGACTTAGAATAATGCATTTCAAGTTCATTTTGTGCATATCTTTATAAAATAACTAACAGAAGTATTTGCAAAGAGATCGGATTCGGTTTGAATTGTTGTAGTTCAATATCATCATTAATCAACTATTCATTACTTGGTTTTGATCTGCTATAATATAGTTTTAAAGTAATAAGCCTAGAATAAAACTTCAATTATACTTAAATTTTTAAAATATACAATATCTTCTTGATAAACCGGATGCTTTGTTCTCTCAAAAATTGTTATTTTTTATACTTTTAGATTTTTAGCTTCTTATCTCTAAAGCAGTTAGGCCTGTTTTTGCCAAAAACTAATCACCACGTCTTCGAATTGAATGTTTTTTGAATCATTCAAATTGGATGCTCTGTTTCCGTCAAAACTTAACTTCCATTTAAGCGTTTAGGTTTCATGAAAATCTTCTATAGCATATATAATTTGAGTCTAATGAGGCTTAAATAAAACTTCAATTATACTTAAATTTTTGAAATATATAATATCTTCTTCATTGTTTTCCAGTGTAATCTTTTTGATATTAAAATGTAAATCTTTATCGTATTCTTCTTATCTAACAAAATACATTTAAAAGTGATGAGTTTTTGTTTATTTTTTATATTCAGAATATTGACTGGACTTCAAGAATGATCTTATTGTATTGTAAAAATTGGAAGAAATTGGTAGCTTCTTCAACGAGCTTGTTAGATCGCTCTATAACAGTTTAATTTGATTGATAAAAAATTGCATTTAACTGACTTATGCCATAAAATAATATGGTTTTCTTGATAATATCTTATTTTCTAATTTGTCTATTAATCAAATAGTTACATCATAAGAAAACTAAACGTCAATAACTTCACTTTGTAATGAGCAAAGTTTATGAAATGTTAGGAAAATGCTGCTTTATTATCCAGTAAATAATACTATCTCATGTATAACAAATGATACTTCGATTTCAGTAATTAAGGCTTAAGTCATAACAAATGATTCTTCGATTTCAGTAATTAAGGCTTTTGACAGTTTAATTATTGGGATGCTAGGACGTGTATCGAACCATTTGCAAAATAGAAGATACTTCGTTTGTCTTTCATAAAACTAGCAAAAAAGTTAACTACTTTGTTTCAATATATGAATTTGTTTAAATATTTGACTTCAGTAAGTGCATCCATTTAATTTCGCTAAAACACTAGTTGTATAACAAAACTTTTCTTGATAAAGTTATTTAAACTTTTATTCAAACCAGTTCTACGTTTGCCGAGCTTTTCATTATTTAAGTAATATCTATAAGCTGCGGTTTCAGTTATGAATATTAAAACGAACAAACCGCAGTTTATGTAATACTATATTCTGTATGTGTTTCGATATAAAATATAATTATTATTTTATTGAAATTTAGCATTGAAGTTAACATTATCCTATTTGTTACAGCTGCATTCAAACGCGATGGGCTCGCAAGTGGACCAAACAGTGTGCGGCCGGTCAGAAGGCCGATTAAAGCTGACTTCTCTATATTGCAGGTGAATATAAATTTTAATTATTAATATAATGAACTTTATATATAGTATCAGGTAAATTATTAAACTCTACTACAACATAAAAATATTTTTTGAGGTAAATTATATTCATGAGATCAATATACAGGGTGAGTGAGCAATTTAAAGTGAATGTACCGAGCAACCCCATTTGGTATCAAAGCCAAAGGGTGGTCATTAATATTATTTTCAACGCCATATCATTTTCAAAAAATAGCTGTAACGTACCCTCAAAACCAAAAATGCTTCCACTTCAAATGGACCAACTTGTGAATTTAATTGAAATATTATTATTGTCGGCCAAATTTTGTTCCTTGACAGTAAAGTTCAATGATATTCTTGAAAGGTTAAATTAAATTAAAACAAAATTTAAAAAAAATATAAATTATTATAATGTTAATATAATTTTAAACCACACACAATACAGTAAAATTTTGATAAAACTATTTTATTCAAGACAATGTTTGAAAAACTGTTGGTCTTATAATTTAGATATTTTGTGATTATGAATACTTCTAGGGGTTGTTCGAGTTGGGGATGGATGCAAGATACACTATATATAAAAATAAAATAAAATATAAAAAAAATTGCTGGCCACACATTACCTTCTATTAAATATTTTTTCATTTTCAATTAAAGAATTTTGTGATGATTCAGAATTTAATTATTATATTTACTTAAGCTTATCATGAATTGTAATTCAGGACATATATTCAAATGAATGCGAATATTATATTATACTGTATCGTTTTTCATATGAGGGAATGAAATTCCAATCAAATAACTTTTGATTTGAGTAATTTATATTTATATTTTTTTCTTCAATATTTAATTTAATTTTGCCTTTTGTAGATGAATGATAGCGACGATGATGATGATGAGAATGATTCCCAACCTGAATCGCCAAGAGATAGCGTCATCAATACCACAAACCCATGGAAACGCACAGGTAAATAATTAAAACTAGATTATTTTTTACGTATTATTGAAATTTTTGTGGTTACAATTTAAATTATGGTGGATATTTAAACGTGGTTTGCAATATTTTATCAAATTAGAGGTAGCAGAAAAGTTCAATAGACGGTAAAGATTTATTTTATTTATTTCTGCTAATTTTAACAATCAGATTACAATACAATCTATAAGTTAGAAGTTATAGTATTGAAAATCAAAATCAAGAAGAAAGAAAATAGAATAAAAAGAGTTAAAGAACATAAATAGAATAAATAAATGAATAAATAATAATTAAAATAATAGTATTAATAATAAAAACAATAATCAATAATAAATAATAATTAAAAGTAACTTGTTTGAAAATTTTCCTGTGCAAAACAGAGAAAATTATGTTGTTGACGGTAGATCACTGGGCCATTTTCTTTTCAAGCGTTTTAATTTTTCGGCTGTCTGTACTATTTGCATTTCCGGATTGACGTGTGCATCCAGTTTGTTTTGAAAGATTAGACTTCTGTTTTTAATACCTTCCGCTACTGTAGGAATTTTTAAGTCTTTATGGATCATGTGGTTGGTCATAAACCACGGAGTCTTACAGATCATTCTCAGAATTTTGTTTTGGACTCTCTGGATTATTTGAATGTTACTCTTGCTGGCGCAGCCCCATAGCTCTATCCCATAAGTCCATATTGGAATTATTATTACTTTGTATAATAGAAGTTTATTTTCTAGAGACAGTTTGGATGATCTTCTCATTAGCCAGGACGGTAAAGATAATTTACATTTTTGTTCAGTAGGGCTTAAGAAATAGCAAGTAGCAGAATATTAAAATAAAACTTGAAGATATGTAAATATTAAAATTAGAGACTTACATACATTACATACATTACGTACATTAGTGGAATCAATGAGTAAAAACAATTAATGAGTACAGTGTTTTGCTTGCAATAACTTTTAGTAGGTACTACTCGTACAAACACATTTTTTTTGTCATACGAATCTAAAAAAAATATCAAAATATGTAGTGATTTAATATTGGATTCAACCTTTGGGTTTAAACATTAATATTTATATAATTCAATTTGAGCATTAATAATTTCAACAGTCGTATTATATTTTTGTATGGATTGTCAGTTAGATATAAATTGTGATAGCAACCACAAAACGCATTCATGATACTGAATCTGTATCATCAGCTGCAAATGTCTTTTTACCGTGGAGTTCTTGGTAAATTTTATGTCCAAGTGGTATTGTAATTCATAATAATTATTTATTGCATTTGGCAATGCTCATTAATGTATTTTTCTATTTCTCCAGCATACGATCTTGCGACGCAATGCTCTTCAAGGCGTGCATCAATGCGACGTCATACGATCGTGGCTTGCGGGGGTTGCGATCTGTTGGCTGATGCTCACACAGAAAACGTTAGCCAGACCAACCAGCCACCAGCAGATTCTTCTTCCATTTGCACCGATGGTGTCACCAGTTGTAGCAGTGTAGCCGATCAACGCGATAGGATGTCTTGGTCGACGACTTCGCTTCAAGATGAGCTAATGCCATCGGTAATTGATTGCTTTTAACTATAGTAATAGAAGATTAATAATACATATAGATCCAAAAATATTTTGTTATCCATTCTTCCCAATATCTATTAATTGCCCAATATGAAATGATGTTTTGTGTAAAAACAGGAATATTATTTCCATTATTTCTGTTTGTAAATTTATTAATACTGACAATTTGTTCCAGAAGCAGTGGCAAGATTCAATATCTCTGGATGAGCGTTTGTCGTTAACTCTGGAGGAAATTGTTCACATCCGTTCTGTGTTAACCAAGGCTGAACTAGAAGGTTTGCCAGTCGAATGCAGAGTAAAAGCCGATGCAGAAAAACGAAAGGTATTTTAAGAAATAAAAAACTATTTTACATAAGTACCATTCAGGTTTTCATTGCTGCAACTTAAAACTTTTATCTTGCAAAATATTATTATATTAATTGTATTTAATGATTATTTTTATTATGAACATTAAAATTTCAATAAAAACTTTTATTAAATAGTTGTTACTTTTAGAAAAAAAAAATTATTTTGAATGGTAAGAACATAATTTGATAAAATCCATATTTAATTATTTATGTTTTTGTCTAGGTTTGTTTCTTGTGTCTAAAGACAAGATTTGGAATATTCGGTCCATGGGGTCAGAGGTGCAAGTTGTGCAAAAGAACCGTCTGCGCTAAATGCTACTCAAAGGTAAACAAAATTCTATATTTCCTTTCTTAAGATACGTTAACTTCAATATTGCATGTCATTTGTTTGTGTAAATTGTTGAAACGCGAAAAAATATTACTCTTCTTATTCAGACTATGATTTTCCCAAACCTTTCTTTAAATTTTTTTATCATTTAGCAATCAGAACTACGTGCTCTTTGGGCTGTGGTTGCTAACATCCATGTTATTTTTCTCTGAGAGAGCAAACCAGTGGTTAACCACTCTTCTTTTATATTACTTTGTACTAAGCATATATAATACGTGTATCTAATAGTGTTGACTTGTATGTGATTCAGGAAGGCCCGCGAAAGATGATTTTCAATCGACATTACCCAGTAAACCACAAAACGTAATGAAAACGTTAATAGAACGTAACAGATTATACGTAAAACATAACGGTTACGTAACCTAAGAGGCACACAGACGTATCTATTTCCGCCTCAAAAACGTAACGGCCTGTTTAGTTACGCGAAAACATAACGGTTTCGTTTAGGTAACGTTTCCAAATTGCGCGAAAACGTAACGGTTTCGTTTTTGTTAGGTTTCTAAATTACTAAATTAACGTGTAGGTGTCTTTGATGTAACTTAAAAATTTAATAAAATTTCCTGTAAATATAGAAACCATTTTTTATATTAATTTTATTTCATATTATAATTAAGAATTTACAAAATTTACATAACATATACTTAAAATTACAAAACTACAGAATATAAATTTGGATTTTAAAAATTTGATTAATCTAAAACAAAAAATAACAATTCTAACAAATTTCTATTTAACAGGATGGAATTAAATGTTTTATTTTGATTATAAAATTTTAACCATTGAAAATAAGTCTTGTGTAAAATCCTTGGCAACCTTTGTTTATCAAATTGAAACCATTTCACTGCTTTCTGTTTGTAAATGTATCTAAAACAGAACCAAACAGGTTAGAAACAATTTCTACAAATTGTTTATTGATAATATTGATTTAAATTTTTTGTAACATTACCTCTAAAAATATTCATTATTTTCAAGTTATTGACAGCTAGGCAGTCCTTTCAACAATACCAAAAACATATTAATTCTTCATCGAATTACACTTTAGACAATAAAGAAGATTTTAGTCTCTGAATTTTTAAATAAATTTTTGCTGAAGTAAAAACAATAGAAGGTTATGATTTGGAAATATTGTGATTATTATTATAATTGTAACAATACTTCTAATTACCTCTATTTATTTTCATTATTTATTAACAAAGTGCAGCTAATTCCTTTATGAACGTATTGCTCAAATATTGTCTTAATTGTTTCTTGTCAGTTCAGCCAAATTTCATCCACCGACTTTTAAATCATATTTTTGCTAAAACTAAATCATAAAAAATTAATACTAAATCATCTAATCATCTCTAACTATCATAATGGGGTATACCAATTCCATGACACATGACACGAGTGTCATCATTTAATGCTGTAAAAAATTTTATTCTTCTTCAAATCATTTTTTCGTGATGATGGTGGATTATTATTTTATATTCTAACTTTGCATTCATATTCTTTATTTGAGCAAATATCTTTATTATGTTCTGAGTCATTATATTTCTTCAATTGAAAACCATTGTATTAGTTTTTATTCCTGTTTAGCCGAACTATATTATTGTTACTGAAGGGGCTACAAATATTAAATTTGTATTTGTATATCTCATTTTTACTAACTTTTTGACTCAACATTGCAATAATCATTGAGGTTATGATTTTTTTGTAGAATTTAATTATTATTTGATAAACATACATTTGATGAAAACATCTACAAATAACAAAGTACGCGAATAGAATTTCCATTAAGGTCCAACTATATACTGAAAAAAAAAATCATTATTATAATAATATATAAATTAAAATAATTTACACATGTTTTATATTTATACTTACCTTGATCGATTCCATTTTAAACATTTTAACTGCACACTGCATAACTAATACGTTCTACATTAATCATATAAAATATTAATCATATAAATAATGATTAAATAAATGCTTCAAAAGAATGAAATAATTTGCTTGTCAAAAGATCTTCAATATGAAGCGTCCATTAGAGCCATTAGTCATAGACAGAAAAGTAAAATATATAGAGTCACGAATAACTTTCAATTGTATTTTCGTGCATAGAGTCTCGCATACATAAAAGAGTAGAACACGTAACCTATCTTTTTGACAGTTTTGTGAAACAGCTGTACCACACCGTCCATTTTGTATGTTAAACTTACAAAACACTGTAACTGAACGGTTACGTTATGAAGAAAACCATGCATTAACGTTTAAAGGTTACAATTAAACGTAACATTTACGTTTTATTAACGTAACCATAAAATACATAACAACGTTTCTTCTGTGCTACGTTACTTTAACTTTATGTTACGTTTGTGGTTTACTGGGTATATTTGAGATCTGTAACTTCAATTGTAAATTTGATATCATACTGTTTGATATCGAGCTTGGGCAAGGTTGCGATCGAATTCGGGACTAGTTTGTGCTAACCCACGTCCGTACTGCTTAAGCCACGGCTGGCTAAACCTTTTTTTAAATGATGTTACAAACTCTTCTTTGGTGATTCCTTATTAGGTAAACTGTTCTAAATAAATTTTATCTTTCCAGATGCGAATACCAACAGAACATTTTCGAAATGTCCCAGTAGTGCTTTTGAGCCCTTCGGTTTGTAGCCCTTGCACGTCATTGCCTCCAACGGCACCGTGCTCGCCTCACAGGAATCCAGCAGGAATGCCAATGGACGACTCATTCCCGAGGCGCCTGATGGCCCGATTGTTACTTCCTGAAAACGAAAGAAAGGTAATACATATTGTTCGTTGAGGTTGATTAATATCAAATAGAACATGTTTTTAATTAAATGGTTTAGCTTATACATGCAGCATGTACATATGCAAAAAGTGTATCATGAAATAGATCCATATTTTTCATTCTCTGACTGCAATTTTGGTGAAAGTCACGAGCGTTTTCGATATTCTATCGAAACTGAATATGCTTACCTATATGCTTATTTTATTTGAATCTGTAAAACATATTTTTTTCTGATTTACGATTGCATCTTATGTTTTACCTTTGTATTTTAGTTCCAAGATAGAATCGGTAGTGCGCCATGCAGTCCGAATAGGGGTAGAAATTCTGCTCCAGATTCTATGACCTGTTCGACAGATGAGTGCCCGAAATCAACGAGCCCTAGGCATCAGACCATGGATCAAAGGTAGTTATTTTTCAAAATACTAATGTTTGGTAAATATTCAATGGTGATCATCTGCGATCATCAAATGTTTTATTAAAATTTGACTTAATTATTTTGTTAGATTTAGGTCTCACACCAGTGCTCGTTCCGGCACGACCGAAAGTCTTAGAGGCGAATTGATGATCGTCTGCCACGACTGTCGTAGCCTGGTCATAGAAATTATCAGGGCTTCTCGTCTGACCAGATCAGCCCTTAGAAACCACACACTGCGAAATCTCACTTTGGATTTAACGCCCATTTACAATACGGCCGACAACAACACGTAGTTGGGGGTTGCGTTCTAATTATATCTTAATGAAACTAAAATTATGAACATATATAGTTATATTGATACAAGTCTAATTACATAATTACCAACGTTGTCAAATCATGCTCATTATTTTATTTTATATTCGTAAATTTATATATATATATATATATATATATATATTTGTATGTATGCATGTATGTATGTATGTATATATATAGATTTTTCCATACATTAATACTCACACACATGCATGTGTACACATATACATATAGAAATATACATGTATGAACTTACATATAACTAAACTTACTCAGAAATCCAAATATATTATCTATTATATGCATTTTTACAACAATTTGAACGTTTGGATTATATATTATGCTTAAAGATATTTTATTTGTCAGCTAAACTTCCAACAAACACAAAAAAACACCAGTTTGATTTTCTACAAAAATTAAACAGAGGTGAGAAATCAATTCCTGGAAGGATAATCTGATTTAACTAAAATATTTTTAAGTGTCTTGCAGACAATACAAATACAGTTTTGAAGTCTTAATTTGTTCTGAAGTCAATTTTTCTAAATAGTCTTGAGTGGATCAAAAACTGCATTCAATAAGCCTTACCAGTAAAAAAATTCTTACTTCTAGAAAATACGTAATATACATTAATGTTACCAATAATTAACAGCCAAACCCTATATATTAAAAATACTACATTGAACCATACATTCGCACACAGGAACAGATTTTACATTTGTTTGTATGTCTGTATATATGCATGTATGCATGTTGGGTGTATGTTTATATGTATATGTATATGTATATTTGAGTATTTGTATAGTAAGTATAAAGTGAATGTCTATTGTTTGAGTATGTGAGAGTGGTGTATATCATGTAATACGCATATCAATTTTCGTTTGAGTTTGAGAGTGTGAATTTGGATAGGAGTTTAATCTATTTATATGCTTTATTGTACATAACCAATATTATTTATTTTAGTTTATATTTATTTTATATTTTTAATTTAATTGTTCATTGTAAGTTCTTCATCTTTTCATTTAAATATATTAACCAAACATTCATATGTAAACCGTGTTGTTACAAGCATACAATACAAAAATGTACATATGCATATACACAAAGATACTTTAAGATAAATTCGTATATTATTACGATATGAATATTATATGTAAGTGGTAAGATTACCAACTTATGAGGATGCTTTAGACAACGCCTTTACTCTGATATAAATTATTTAAACGGCATACTTTAATTCTATATACCATTAAAATTTAAGTGATGAGTGTGTATAATTTTTCATAAGAAGTGTGATTAAGTACAGTAAAGTTAGGAAATGATATCAATATAATATCACTAACAGTTTATTCAAGACATATTTATTTGTTTTAATCAGAATTTTGTATATAATTGTTTGATATTGGTGACTCACCTGTATTTGTGTTTTATTAAAATCTCATATAGTCACCAAATTATGTATGTTTAATTATATGTATATGTAATGCACACAAGTACAAAACACAAAATTTATCTTTGAACATACATATACACAAATGTTAGAAATAATATATACGCAGAGTCAAACTATATATGTTATGTTTTATGTAATATTTATTACATGTATGATATATCGCAACACCCAAAATTATTAATCGTTGGCCGCATACACAATCATACAGATACCACCAAATAAGCTAATGCACATTTTCAAAAACTACTAAGACACCCCCACCAGATCCTATATAGTATATATTCTTTTATGTAAGAGGTTATTATATTAATGTTATAAATATATCCAAATAATATTAAGGAAATTAGAAAAATTATAAAAAAATTAAATAGATAAATAAAGAAAGTAATTATATAATCCAGTTGTTTTAGTCTTATTCTTATCATGTAAGCGTACGTATTATTCGAAACTCCAATTAATTTTTATAATTAAACTCCTCATAGGCTTATATTATTTTAAATTGTTCGGTTTGACTATTAGCCCTGTCACCATGCGAAGTTTGATCAATATCCGAGAAAAGTAAACCTGAGCTACTCCTGGTTAGTAAGTTTGTTCTTTGTTTTATTTATAAAATTTATTAGATACAATATAAATGAGGGAATTGAAATGATTGTATTTCTTTGGTATTTAAAACCAACACTGTTGATATGATTTTCATATGAAGAAATAGTTTAAAATTATGCGTTATATTATTATTTAACATTAAAATCACAATATACCAGAATGTTTTGAGAATAATTGAATTTTACCTAGTGTTACTAGATCAAACAATATTAGATGCAAACGTAGTCATTGACTGGAACATTGAAGCATAGTTTTATTGATTTAGTTTTGCATTTATTAACATGCAATTATTTCCACCTGTTTTATTTCATACTGCGACTTATCAAATATCTTACTCATGATCATAACATAATTGTGTTTAGTTACCTACATATACGTGTGTGTACATTAGTTTTATCGCATTATGATAATCTAGTTTAAACTTATTTTTTATTTCAGATTTGTTTTAAACCAAAATGAATCTGGATGTGATTCAATTATAATTTTGCTGCTGTGGATAAATAGATTAACATTAATGTTTTACTGTGATACAGAAATTGATTTTAGACAATGGCTACTTTAGTTTGGATGGTGTTGTTTGGATTTAGATGTCTTACGAAAGATCAAGTAGAGGTAATTATGAATCTTTATCAAATATTACAATTTAATAAATGAGTTATAATTATAAGGATTGTTTATTCTAAATACCATTACAGGGCGACAACTTTTCAAACCAACTGCCATTGAGAGAGTACTCCACCAGGTACTATGTTTTTAAGCAATGCTACATAGCTGCAAATGACTTAATTATAATTAAATACTAATGTTTGTATATTTCATAGGTGTTGACTACCTGTGGCCGAACTAATGTTCCATGTTACAAATACTGCAGTGCAATATCATATGTATTGTTTAGGCAAATTAGTAATATTTTCTGTTTTATGATAGTGTACTGGACACCTGTATGTAAAATTATGAAGGTAATGAATTACTTTTATCTTTTATAGTAATTATCCTACTTCTTTTTTAGGCATAGTCTACAATCGTCCTACAACCGTTTTCTTGTTGAGGGTTTTAGCGGCTAATTAGTCTTATTTCTTCTTCAGTAATATTTTTCTTGAACAGTATTCTTTATCCGTAATCACTTCATGGATAGATATATCAGTTCTGTGCCATTGATAAACCTTTGAGTGTTGCCTTCGATAACTAAACTAAAATAAACCGTTTGAATAGAAAGGTTTTTTGTATTGATTTAATATTGGAAAAAGAGGTAAGACTGTAGATTAGCAGCGAATTTGGTCCCAATATCGGCCAGCTTGATATAAAGTATTATCATATAAGACTTTCATTTGGGATTATAGATCTCAAACATGACAAAATAGCCTTTCAGGGGCATTGCAATAATTTATATACATCTATATATACATATATATATATATATATATATATATATATATATATATATATATACATATATATATATATATATATATATATATATATATATATATATATTATTTTATATATAATATATTATAGTCATAAATAAATAATTTAACATAAAAAAATCACTTCGTAATTCTGTTGTACTCGTTCTACTATACTCCACAATCAAGTGGCAATTTGCAAAGAGTTCTTTTGATTGAATCAACTATTTTTTTAGGAATATTATTTACAAGTCACCTTAGTCGAAGTTTACAACTTACCTGTATCTCTACCATATTAAAGGTAAATAATTTTCAACATTTTCTTAAAGTCTTGGGCCTAAAATTGTGTCGGCGGAGACTATAATAATACACATCCAATTTTGAGATCTCAACCAGTGACCCCTAACAAAAAATTAAACAATATTATTCAACCAAATAATGAGCTAATTTTTCCATACAATTTTGTAAATTGAAAAATTGATCGCTGAAAAACGAAGAGCCAGAAGAACTTGGCAAAACTCGCATTTTTAAACTCTCAAATAAAAGATTCTTAATTAATAAAATTGTATAACAAAGCGAATATAAAAGTGCAACTTTTGACCTTTGGCCAATGTGCACCGCGACATCTGATCTTCTGCGTTGAACGGTTGAACAACTTGATAGTTGTTGCCTTAATTTAGCCAAATTTAGTTCACGTAAACTATATTCTACTTGTCGTAACTTATACTAAATTATCTAGAAATATAAAAAATAATTCGTATTTGTGTAACTTCTGATTCGATAATCTTTAATTATCGTTAACGTTAGCCATAAATTTTTAAAAAGTTAAAAAACAAATATAATTGGGTATTTTATTTACAGTGTTCCACACCTAAACGGTCCTAGCAAATCTTAATACGAAAAAAAAAGACAAAAATTGAAAAAGTAAATTGAAAAAAACGTAGTTTTGTTATTCGTTAGCTCGACAGTTTATTTATTCGTCCTTCCGCCAGAACTTTCGTTCGTTTATCTGTCTTCCCACCGTCTGCTTGTCTGATCATCCGCTCCTTCATCTGTCTGTCGGCCCTGGTGTCTGATCCACTAGTGCACCCTAGTAAATTCCAAAATTGTATTGAAAACTGAAATGCTACTATTAATTGTTTTTTACGCCTAGATAAATGCTATAAAAATATTTATTACTTGAAAAAAAAATGCTTTTAATTTTAATTTGTTACATCGATGCAGTAAAGTTACATGTCATCTCCTGCAGATACTCGGGCCTCAGACCGTTTGCTGAAGCTATTTATGTAACATATACATGCTTGCATCGGTAGTAAAAAAGTACTTGATTCTGCAACTTGCGTTCGTTTTATTTCTCTTACGCTCTTTTCATATAAAATTTGCTTTAAAATCGTCTGACGTATTAGGAGAACAGACGCATTTCTCGACAAGCGCGCCCAAGTAAATGTAAAATTCCAGGGTTCTGCAACTAATAAATTTATGGGTTCCAATGCAAAAATATGCTGACATGCGATGTTGGCAATAACGCGAGTATGTAATGGTGTTAATAATTTTATAT